CTGTAAACTGAAGCTTAGCTATTTTCAGAGGTTTTTATCATTTTTTGGGGGGGAACTTTTTTTTTAACAAAAAGTTACCAAGCACCAAGATTTCATTTGGTGAAATAAAAAAGATTCTGCAGTGGAAAAAAGAAAGGGCTATGGTTTGAAATCAAAAGTCTGGATAAAGAGTACAGATTTTGAGTCAAAAATGTCATTGCTGTCACGCTGATCTCCCCAGATGCTGCAAAGTAGAAGTTGGCTCCACAGGGTTTCCAAGGCTGTGACCATTTCTGAGGCATCTCTGGGTGAGTTCTGAACACCCAACCTTTCAGTTAGCAGTTGAAGGTGTTACTGTTTGTACCAGTCTCTCCTCTGGTCCAAATCAGGTTTAATTCTAGCTCTGTGACTTTTTAGCTTTGTGACCTTGAGCAACTTGTTTCCTCTTTCTAAGCTATACATTTTCCATTCTGATCAGTTTTCATATTTCAGAGGGTTACCATGAGGAGTTACCAAGAAGTACTCTGCCCATAACATCTGGAGCACAGTACACACTCAATAAATGGTAGCTAGGCTTACTCTCAAGGACTTCTGGTATGGCACTGTAGGATCAGCACTGGACTGAGAACCACAAGGTCAGCAGTTCAAACCCACCCACTGCTCCTCGGAAACCCTATACAGGGTCGCTATAAATTGGAACTGATTTGATGGCACTTAGCAACAACAGGCTTTCTCTCAAGGATCCCTGGTTGTGCAGCGGTTAAGAAAAGGATCAAAGGTTCTAACTCAACAGCCACTCTTTGGGAGAAAGAGGAATCAGTCAGCTTTTATAAAGACTTGTTATTGTTAAGTACCTTGTAGTCAGGTACTTGTTGTTGTTAAGTACCTTCCAACTCATAGTGACCCTCCTTATAAGACTTACAGCCTTTAGAAACCCTATGCATCAGTTCTCGTCTGTCCTACAGGGTTGCTATGAGTTGGAATTCAGTGGATGGAAATGTGTAGGCTTATTCTTGAAGGACTGTAAGTGCAGAGGCACAGTGGTTAGGAACTAGGCTGCTAACAAAAGGTTCCAATTTACCAGCTGCTCTATTGGAGATCTGCTTCGGCAAAGATTACAGCCTTCGGGTCAGGGGAGGGAAATTACAGCCTTGGAAACCCTGTGGGGCAGTTTGCTATGTCCTAAGACATTGTTAGGAGTCCTGGTGTGTTGGTGATGGTGTGCTGTGGAGTTGGTTCTGACTCATAGCAAGCCTGCATAGGGTTTCTGAGGCTGTAAATCTTTACAGGAGCAGAAAGTTTCGAACTGCTGACCTTGAGGTTAGCAGCCCAACTCATAACCACTCCACTACCAAAACTCCTATAAGTCCTGGTGTGATGCTATAGTATAACTACAGTAACCCAACACTATAACTACTATCACCCAACACTAACCACAAGGTTGGGTTCAAACCCACCAATCACTGCTTGGCAACCCTATATAGGAACACTATGAGTCGGAACCAACTCAAAGGCATTTAACAACAACAATAACATAAAGTTGCTAAACAGCCCTGGTGGTACAGTGGTTTAACCATTGGACTGCTAACCACAACGTTGGCAGTTCAAAACCACCAAGGGAGAAATATGAGGCTGTCTGCTTCTGTAAAGATTTACAGTCTCAAAAACCCTAAGGAGTAGTTCTACCATGCCTCAGAGGGTCAGCCATGAGTCAGAAATTACTCAAGGGCAATGGCTTTTTTCTCTTTTTCTTTTGGTTTTTAGAGACTTACTCTCTTAAATGAATGAATGGTGGACAATTACCAATTATAGCAGGTAGTATTTAAGCTTCCTGTAATCAAAATTTGAATCCAAACACCAGTCTTTTTAGTGGGGCCTAAAAATCCCTATAAGGAGCTCTGGTAGCGTAGTGGTTATGAATCCGGCTGCTAATCCCACGGTCAGCAGTTTCAAAACTACCAGCTGTTCCGTGGGAGAAAGATGAGGTTTTCTGCTCCTATAAAGATTTACAGCCTTGGAAACCCTGAACAGTCTCTATGAATCAGAACCGACTACAGGGCACACAACAACAACAACAAAAATCCCTATGGTGTGGTTTTTTTTTTGTTGTTGTTGTTGTCTTTCAAAATCTATTCATGGCCCAATGTGGGCACCAGACAAAAGTCCATTTTATAAGACTGCCTAGCTGGGTTAAAAGAAAATATGCAGAAATGTGTGGAACTTCAGCCATAGGCTATAGAACAAATGGATTATCCTTAGCTAAAAACAAAGACAGGATGGTGTAGGGTGAAAATGAATAAAACGGGTCTGGGTTAATAAGGGCACCAAAATGGCAACAACTTTTACCTCTGGGAAAGAGAGGAAGATTGGGAAGGAGGTGGAATAGATAGACCCTACTTTGTTATAATGGAGCCAGCTCCTGGGTGCTGCAAATGATTAAGTCCTCTACTCTCAAACGAAAGGTTGGCAGTTTCAACCCACCCAGAGGCACCTCAGAAGAAGGGTCTGCCAATCTGCCTCTGAAAGGTCACAGCCTTGAAAACCTTCAGGGATGTGATTCTATTCTGCACACATGGGGTCACAAAGAATTGAACTAGACTTGTCTGATTCTGGCTTATTGTTTTAAACTTTTACACTTTATTTATATGTTGTTGTTGTTGTTAAGTGCCTTTGAGTCAGTTCTCACCCATAGTGACCCTGTATAGAGTTTCTGAGAAGCAGCTGGTGAGCTTGAACCACCGACCTTGTAATTCAAACTGACTTTGCAGTCCAGTGCATTAACCCACAGCACCACACCAGGACTCCTTATGTATATATTGTTGTGCAATTTACAAACAAGCAAAGGCAAAATAAAAAAAACAAAGTTATGGTATAAACTGTCTTTTAGAAAACTTGCAGAATGGAGAACTTGAGGAATCTTCAACAAGAGACAAGAATCAAAGAATGTATCCCTCAGGCTGTCAATGCCCTGAAATAAACACATATTCTACTTGGTTGGTTGTCCTCCAGGGGATGGTTGGAATGGAGGGAATTCTGATCCTATCACCAACAAGTGATACAAAAACCAGGTTAGAAGGCAGAAGTCACCTGTCAGTTACTTTGTTATAAACTTTTTTCTCTTTGCAAATCCCCAGATAAGACATCAGTACTCTCTGGCTTGTTCTTGTTAGTAAAATTCAAAGTCTGCAGAAACAAACTGAAGGCTATTGGTAAATTATGCTTTTAAGCAGAAGGAAACCAGATGGTGTATTAGTATTCCTATGAGTACATTTCCATAGCAAAGAAAATAAGAGACAATTTTTAAAAAATTTTGCTTGACAGCTATTTGGTTGATTAAGGATACCTGACAGATGAGTTTTTAGAATATCTTCAAATACATAGAGAAATTTAAAAAAGGGAGTAAATAGAGGGCTTAAAAGGAGTGCTAATGGCTCTGAAGGATAAGCACTGGACTGTTAACCATAAGGTTGGCAGTTCAAACCCATAAGGTACTCTGAGGGAAAAAGATGTGAGGCTTTCTGCTCACATCAATGGCACCTAACAACAAGAAGAGGGTGTAAACAAAAAGAAGTGCTGAAAAGAAATGGCTTTTTTTTTAATTAGAAAACATTTATTTACTATTAGAAATTAGATTTCACTAAGGGCCTTTCCCTTGGAAAATGAAACATTGTTGAACTCTGTGGAGTTGCTTGGACTTGCTTTCATTCAGTTTGGATTCTGCACCAATGAGAGAGGTTGGTACTATGCTTCCCTGGCAGTAGCCAACACAGGCTGGTTTTGATGCATATATTTTAGTCCATGGACACTAGGGACAATTTAGCTTTCCTGATGAGAAAATGCAGTCACAGGCAAATAGGGGCCCTGGCTGACCCCTCTGTCTGGGCCTGATGGGCTGGCTTTTCAGCCCTGCCTTTCAGCTTGCCCATTTGGTCATGGGAGATAGTCCAACCCAGCCGTGATTCATTGTGTTCTGAGGGTGGCTGAAGTATTTCAGTTGCAGCACAGAAAGGACTTGAATGAAAGGCAGAATGAATGAGAGAACCATTTTGATGGAATTGCCCCCAGTATTAAATAGGAAGAGGGCAGTTCAGGTCTGGAGGAAGCTTCTGTTGTTTAAGAAACTCACTCCATACGAGGTCCAGTCATTTATCCTTTACCACGTTCCCGCCTGTCACTATGTATACATTCGCAGATGTTCACAGACCACCAATGTGTTCCCATTACAGTGGACTGAGTTTATTGTAAAACAAACAAACAAAAAGAAAACTACTTCCACCCTCCAACTTACAACCAATGTAACAGTATTTTATTACTATGGATAGAGGGGCAAGCAGTTTTAGAAATCAATGCATAGGGTGATATAACCCTAATTGATCTCTCAAAGACAGATCACCCACTGCTCTCTTTTTGGAAAAGAAAGGCAGTCATACTAAGCAAAATTGGGAGAGTTTGAAATAGAGGATTTAAGATATTAGATCCCATCATTTCTGTAAGAGGCCATTCCAGTTCTTTGCTACTTATACTATAGATTGAGATGAGTGAATTATTGACCGGATGGACTTGGGAAACCAGGAGAGGCTGCTTCTGAAGACTGAAGGTGATAATGCAGCAGCTGAGACTGACTGAACGAAAGGTGTGGAGAAAGTTGGACCCTTCAAAGATGAGAGCGAGAGACAACTATTGGGGTAGACTCTGACTCAATTAGCTGGAATTGTAATCAGTCCAATTCTCTTTTAAACTACCTTGTAATCTTAGCTTTGACTGAGAAATCCCCATTCCCTGATTAACCCTCTTTAAGGCACCTCAACCCAGCCCCCTCCCCCGGCAAGTCTTTCTAAGGATCCACCACCCACAGATCTGTATCAAGGCAGGCATATTTCTCGGATAGACCACTGCTATCAGAAGCACGCTTTAATGAAGGGGTTTTGCCACCAAACCTGAGGCTGACCTCAGGCAAGCCTTCAAAAGCATTAATAAGGGAAGAGCAAAAAGCAAAAGAAACAAACAAAACCTGTCCTTACCCGCTTCTTAAAAAATTGGAAGGCTGAGCATTTCTTGACTGGGAATCCATTCATGTCTTTGTTTACCATTTTCCACAGGATTGAGTTCACAGTGATAGATCCTGGGTGACACCCGCTTGCTTAGTGCATCTGATAATCCTTGCGTTCCCTCCAGGAGACAGTTAAGGATGACCGAAGGGGATGGAGAAAGGTGCGGGGCTGACCTTTTCACTCGCACATTCTGCAGCACCAGCTACTGCAGCAAGCTCTCCCCACTTTTAGTGGCCACCCGCGGTGGGCTTTCTTTTGCTATCGTGGTTCCAAAACGTCGCCATCACCGCTACAGGATCCCGGGCTGGCCGGCCGGATACAGCGACGCTCTGGGGAGATGCTCCGCCTGCTACAGAGCGGGAGCAAGGTGTCCCCTCCCCGCTCCCCAGCTACCTGGCTGCTCTGCGGCGGGTGAGATGAAACCAGTCTCTCTGCACTTCTGGAAGCTGCTCGCGACGAGAGCTGTTTTTGATTGTGCAAGTTCCAGTGGGAGCTGTAGTTAAGCAGCTGAGAGGAGTCACAGCGAACAGAAGCCGGAGGGAGGGAGAGCGAGCCGCGCCAGGAACGCAGAGGGAGAGAGAAAGCAATGCTGGAAGAAGGAAGCAGGGGGCTGATGAATATCTGAGTAGCCGATGGATGCACAGAAGACACCAGCTCGGGACGAACTCAGGAGCAGTTGTCTCCCCTGGCGAGGGCTACTTGATTAGCTTTTTTCTTCTGCTTTTGCTGTTAAAATTGTTTACATCAGAGTTTCACATAAAATGCCGTTTTTATTGTATGCTCATTGGAACTCTTTTTGATACCCATTTGTGTATGTAAAAGTCTCTCAAATGAAATTTAGTTAATTGTTTCCTGTTGTATGCAAACGTCCGGAGAGAAAGAAAGTGCAAATGGAGACCTACATAATACTGAACCACCGTTAAGTAGACTCTCCTCTGGCTTCGACTCTTGTACTAAAGAAGGGTGTGAAAAGAACACAAGGAAACTTACGAAGTACTTATGTAAAACCCACAAAGGACTTAACCAAGAATCATTGTTGTTAAGTGCCATTGAGTGGGTTCCCACCCATAGCGACCCTGCATAGGGTTTCTGAGGAACAGCTGGTGACCTGGAACTGCTGACCTTGCTGTCCAAATCAATATTGCAGTCCAGCACATTAACCGGCACAGCCACAGCAGGACTCCAAGAACTATTTGTTGTTAAGTACCGTGGAGTTGGTTCCGGCTCATAGTGACCCTGCACAGGGTTTCCGAGGCTGTAAATCTTCACGGGAGCAGAATGCCTCATCTTTCTCCCGCGGAACAGCTCTACGCTACCAGAGCTCCTTTAGTGGGTCCATTTAATGGAGGGGAAAGACTGGGAAAATGAAAAAGAATAAAGCATTCTCTGGATCAAGTGAAAATTTACTCCAGAAATTTTTATTTGTGCTATTCTTTGCACATTAGATTAATCTTCACAAGTTACTTAATTGCAAGTGGCTTACTGTTCTATTTTTACTCTTTAATTTTCATAGTTCAAGGGATTTTTTTATAACTTGAAGTAGAGCTTCTGGCTAAATGGAGAAAGCAGTGAAAATATTCCTGACATCTGGTCAGACATTGCTAGACCAGGGTGTGGCTTTCTGCCAGTCACCTGTCCTCACTGTGTCTATCAGATGCTGCCTCATCTATGACATGGTAGCATCTGCTCATTCATTCATTCACTCACTCATTTATCTTGTCATTCACTCATTGGTTGAGTTGTTCCATTAATCTATTAAATGTTGCAAGTTCCTCAGAATAAGGAATCTTTTCATAGTCACAAGAGAATACAAGGGAAAGGAGAATGCCTACTTGGTGAAACAAATATCTACCTCATTAACAACAGCACACCTAACATTGTTAAAATATTTATATAGCAGGTACAGTTATCTAGGTTAACTGGAGGAAGAGAGGCATTGATTTCAATGAATTGGAGTAGTAATCTCTATAGCAAGGAGGTTAACAATCAATCTTATTTATTAAATGCTTTGAGATTTCCAATAGAAAGGTACAACACAGCCAAATGATGGATTGATAAGCGAGAGAAAAGAATCCATTCATTTTGGAATGATATATTACATTGTCCAAGACGTAAGGGAACATTCTTTATATCATTGATAGCTGTTGTGGTTCTTCTAAAGACTTTGAAATGATGGCAGCTCAGATGGATACAAGGAAACTTTTCAGGTGATAACAACGTTCTCTATCATGACTGTGGTGGTGGTTAAGTGCATTTTTCAAAATTCATCCATCTTATATTATTGAAAAGGATAAATTTTATTGTATCTAAATTATACTTCAATAGCACTGATTTTTTTTTTAAGTGGTGAAACTAATAACCACCTCATTAAGTTCATTTTCAGTCTTCAATTTTCTTCTTCACTCCAAATATTTTAGTAGATACTTATTGAGTTTGAGTGATGTATAGCAGGGACCCTCTAAGCAATATGGTTGGAAAGAATAACTAGGGAATGTGCTTTGACTCCATGTTGACTTACCAAGCACAGATGGTTTCTTAGTTGGGATGAAGGCGAATGGCTAGAAGAAGCTATGAAGGAAGAGGTGAAGCTAAAGCTAAACCCTCCCCTCCCCTCCTAGGGCTATCTCTTGGAGGTGTTGCTACTGCTAGCTAGTCTGTGTTAGATCCGATGGAAAGTCCTATGAATACAAACTTCAATCATTCCTGCTACGAAAGGACTCACCTAATAAAGAAGCACACACTGAGGTAATAAGTAAATATTCACCTTGGAGTCCTTGTGTGGTGCTGTAGGATAAGCACTGAACTGCTAATTGCAAATTCAAACCCACCAGTCACTCCTCAAAAACCTTATCCACGGTTACCGTGAGTTGGAACTGATTTAACAACAACAACCTTGGCTTGAGGGAGACAGGAGAGGTGTGGTGGAGGTGAAGCAGGAAATCTTCTTGGAAGGGAGCACCTTAGAGCAGAGCCTTAAAGCAAGAGCATGGGAGTGGTGGTGGCTTTGTTGTTGTTGTTGTTATGTGCCGTGGAGGAGTCAGTTCCAACTCATAGCAACCCTGTACAGGGTTTCCAAGGCTGTAAATCTTTGCGGGAGCAGAAAGCCTCATCTTTCTCCCACAAAACAGCTGGTAGTTTCCAACTGCTGACCTTGAGGTTCGCAGCCCAATTCGTAACCACTACGCTGGTGGCTCTGTAGGACTGCTAATCACAAGATCAGCAGTTCAAACCCACTAGTTATGGAGAAAGATGAGACCTTTTGCTACCACAGAGATCTGTTGTTGTTAAATGTTGTTAAGTCAGTTCTGGCTCATAGCTACCCTGTGTAGCTAAGGTATCTAAGAATTTGGTGAGTTTGAACCTCCAACCTTGCAGTTCAAATCAACTTTGCAGTCCAATGTTTATCTTACAGCACCACACCAGGACTTTGCAGAGATTTACAGCCTCACAAACCCTACCCAGGGGCTCTGTGGTTATGTGCCATGGAGTCGATTCTGATTTATAGCAACCCTGTATAGGGTTTCTGAGGCGCTAAATCTTTAAGGGATGCATTTGCGTTATGGTGTTCAAGGAGAATATTGCAAGTACCATGGGCTGCGCAAAAACCAACAGATCTGTGTTGGAGGAAGTGCAGCCAGGGTGCTCCTTAGAGGTCAGGATGGCCAGACTTCATCTCTCATACTTAGGACATATTGTCAGGAGGAACCAGTCACTGGAGAGGGATATCATGTTTGGTAAGGTGGAGGGTCAGAGAAAAAGAGGACGACTCCCTGTGAGATGGATTGGCAAAGTGGCGGCATCAATGAACTAAAGCGTGGCAACAGTAGTGAGGTTGGCCCAAGATTGGGCAGTGTTTCGTTTTTTTTGTTGTGCATAGAGTCACTATGAATCAGTACCAACTCAATGGCACCTGACAACAACAACAACAACAAATCTTTATGGGAGCAGAAAACCTCATCTTTTCCCCATGGTAGTTTTGAACTACTGACCTTGAGATTAGCAGCCCAACTGCTAACCACTATGTTACCAGAGCTCCTTACCCAGAGCAAGCATGAGCTGAGAGATGCTTTCTTTTCCCTGAGCAGCCAACACAGTGAAGTGAAACACATTCTCTCTAATTGCATTGTCCAAGATTTCATCCAAAAGAATGGACTACCATCTCTGTGGAGGATCAATGCTTCTCGTCCTTCGCTTGGCTGAGCCCTCTTAGTGGTGGTGATAGTAAGTGCTGTAGAGTCAGTGTCCAACTCATAAGAGACTCATATAATCAATCTTTGGTATGATATTTTGGATAATGCAATCAAAGGGAAATGTGTTTCACTTCACATGCTCAGGGAAAAGAAGGCATCTCTCAGCACACTCTTAGCTCTTTCTTCATAAACAAAGCTGCCTGTAGGCACGTCTACAGAGATTGCCATTTACAGTCTCCTTTCCCAGGTCTGTTAGAATTTACAAAGGAGACTAAATTACTGCTTATGGAAGAAAGGAAAAGAGTCCTTGCACTCTCTTAACTTCCTGTTTAGACATGGAATCTGTTTAATGTTAATTAATTAATTTACTTACCGTATTTTCCAGTTAAACATGCTATTCCTCCTGCAGACTCAGTGCACAGTGAGATGTTTGGCTCATGCTAGTCTCTTAAGGAATGATTTTCAAATGAATTAAATAAAGGACTAAGTAAAGTCCACATCAGGGACCCTGGCATGAGACTGTTTGCAGGAAGCATTAAACATCTTTGAAATTCTTGAACCATGAACTCCCATCATGGCCACTGAGCTGCGTATTGAAAGAATAGACGGTTTGTCCATTGTCACCATTTCTTCCCTAAGCCTCAGTGTCACTGTGATCCTGAGTAACACTTCTGTTCTATGGAAAATTCTAAAGTTAAAAAAAAAAAATCCCTTGAGCTTCTGTTTTAATCTCCCTGTGTGTGGCACTTTCACTTTTTATCTCAACAGTATTGTGTAAAACAGAATACAAGGATTAAAAAAACAACAAGTCACCGTGGTAAGAACTGATTGCAGACATGCATGTGGAAAGGAAAGAGCACTCATTAAGATTTGGAAGATCTGATTACTAACTTTCCCTTCCTGATTGTGTGACCTTAAGCAAATTTCCTCAATTTACCTAGTCTCAATTTCCTCATTGGTAAAATAGTAGTAATAATCATAGACTATCTCCCTACTTACCTCATATGGGAATTAATAATCCCATATTACTTATGAAAAGACTTTACAAAAACAATAAAGAATGCTACTTTTTTGTTGTTGTTTTCTTTTACTAAAATCAGAGATAAATACTATTGTTAGAATGTTGTTGTTGTGTGTCGTGGAGTCGGTTCCAACTCACAGTAACCCTGTATAGGGTTTCTGAGGCTGTAAATCTTTACAGGAGTAGAAAGCCTCATCTTTCTCCCACAGAAAGCTTGTAGTTTGGAACTGCTGACCTTAAGGTTCACAGTCCTATTCATAACCACTACGCTACCAGAGCTCCTTATTGTTTGAATAGTTTTTAGAAATCTGTCTTTCCAAAGGTTAAAATGGTTTTGGATGATTATATTTAACTATTAAATGTAATGTGAAAATAATTTTTCTATAGCGAGCTGTAAAACACAAATGATAAG